TAACCTTTTTTTATTATTATTGTGTTCATCTTTCATTAATCCGTTTCCTGATCGGTCATCTCCCATTTTCTACCCAATTTCACGGGTCAAAATCAATGCCAAAAAAATGCAAATATTGCAATAGACATATGTAATAATATTATTTGTTTCCTCTCCACCCGTGCAACGCTCCATTGTAGTTGATACAGTAATTCCATTGTAGCGAACCTTCATGCTCACTAACTCTGCAAATAATAATCATGTCCATTATTCCTACAAATTAGAATCGATAGATCGTGCAGAATTTCTAAAGCCGCGATATTTTTTTCACAAAACTATAAAAAAAAGTTTTATATATTTTTTTTTCTATATAAAATTGTTTATATCCTAAAAGCAAGCTGTGTATAATAAATTTCATTTACATTTCAATAATTTCAGCAATTGATTTAATTACATGATTATCTTCAATAAGTCAACAATATGCAATTATTAACATTCACTTATTCTGTTGATTTTCTCAAGGATTCAAATTAGAGATGGACTACATTACATTTTTTTAATAATTAAATAGATGCGCTATAATGAAATCGTTGTGCAATGACTCTTCATGCACGACTTGAAATAATTTTAAAGAATTAATGATTTGAAAAATTGTCACAAATTACAAATTATCTTATATTATTTACTATAGTGATGTAACAAGAACAATTACTTATGAAACTGACTATGTTGTATATTTTATAACTAGGGTATTTTTTTTCAATTATTGTTTTTTTTTACAAAATTACAAAGTTATATGTTTTGTATTAATAAGATAATTTGTACCAAAAACTCAATTTATATACATATAAATACATAAATAATTATAGATAAATCATTGTTAAAATTAATATATAATTAACTAAAACTATGAAAAACTAAACTTTAATTCAGTAAAATAAAAATAAATACTAAAGAAAAATATGTTTATGTATTCATTTCTTGGATAGTCCGGTTTCAAACAGTCCGGAATGTTGGCGAAACCAATTATTCGCACTATGAGAGGTATGGCTGTAATTTGCTATTTTATTACATTATAAAATTGACTTTAAATATAAATTGAAAAGATTGCATTCAAAATTACAGTAAATTCAATAATGTAAATGTCAAATTCGCTTTAAGGAAAAACAATTAACAATAATTTAAAAGACAAACATAAAAAGGAGAAAATTATTATTGATTTTGTCTAACGGAGGTTTTCCATTACGCTAAGAACAAATAATCAATATTGACAAGGAAAAAAAACTTATCCTGTTCTCATTAGATTTATGAATATTCCAAAACAGACCTAAAATATATTTTTATAGTCGTCAATAGTTGTAGATTAAGTACAATTAGAAACTAATTATGTACTTAAATTAAGACAATGGGTAATAATTGGTGGAATTTGAACAATTGAAAACAAAAATCACGTAGTTGTTATGTGAAGAACATTGAATATTTCTTGTATTGTTCGTGGACATGAATACGTTCGAAACTTTAATACAATTAAAAATTATAGTAATACCTCGTTGAGTTCAGTTAATAATGGATTTTGCAAATATCTTGGACAGTTACTGTCGAGTTATTTCGAGGAACTAATGTTACATACTCCCTCTCCCGATTTAGGAATTTTATTTGTTCGAAAATAAGTTTCCCATTTCTAAAAATATATGACAAAGGGATATTAACATGTATTTTCACTGTTAAACTATAGCATAAAATGGAAAACATTCTAAAATTAACAGTTATGAGTAACATTTAACAAATTAGTAACTATAAACGCTCAAGTTCCTGACGTGCTAACAATGTTTGTCCTTACTAATGTGAGGAAACTTATAATCGTTGCCTCCTTTATGAAGCACGGTCAATTCCATAAACTTCTGCAATATAATGAAAACATTGTCTAGTTTTTTTCGCAGTTATTTCATCCCATACTTTATACATGGTCGCAATGAGTTCATCAATATTGGACGGCGACACTTTGTGTTGTAATGATTGAATGGCGTTAAAGAAACCCAAATTGAGGACATTGAAATTGGAGTTGTTTTGTGGTTGACAAACTATTCTTCTATTCCACCCATTTTCAGTACCAGCGCGTACAACTTCCATCATCAACACTGTGGTTTAGCTGGATTTTGATTGGCATGGTTATACTACCAATAAGCCATTTTCTTTTATCGCGGTAATTGTTCGAGTATAGACTTTTTGGATAGTTTTTGCAATGATGACCGTAATAATGAATCTTAAACAAATTGTCAGAGGGTACAAAACCAAACTAACAATTGTTACAAAATTTTACCTGTTCAGAACAAGAAATTATTTGACATGCTTAATTTAAATAAATAAGTACATTTAATTTCATTATTTCAATAATCTATTAAAAAACTTAAATTAGACAATTATTTTGGGACAAAATAATTTATTAAAATATAATTTTGTAGGTTTTTCTCGACTAAAATTTAGTTTGTTTTGAAAACTAGGATGTATATTGTACATTGCTGTACTATTGATACGCTAAAATACGCTATATTATTTTTTACGATAATGTTGCTAAAATTATCGAAATTTTATTCATAAATTTTGAACTTATTATATAATTTTATTACAGTTACATAATGACGCGCATTGTAAATAATATTGCTCAAGTAAAATTCCACTTTTCCTGTAATCATCGCAGTTATTTCAAGTGCTGCTTGTAACAGACTGCTTCCGTAATTGATTACAATGAAAACTAATTCCATCATTTGTCAGGCAATTTGCGTAATGTTTACGTATTGCATATTGTACAGGTTTTTAAACACTTAACATAGCTTATATGAGAAATTACGCAGTTCTCATATTTCACTCAGCAATAAGTAAATGAATATTATTTACAAATGGATTTATTTTTTTTTATAATTACAAGATCATTGTACAATTTTTGAATAACGTTCATTTTTTATATTGTAAATTTAAAAAAAATATTGTAATTAGTAATTAATTATATAAAATATTTTATTAAGTGTACGTAATATACATTTTTTTAATATAATATTCGTTTTAATGCTTTATACCCGCATTAAAGCATCTATTGTTTTAAAAACGACGGTCAATGGACTGCAAAATTATGATAATCAATAGTTAAATGTAAAAGGTTAAACTTTTTTTATATATTTGCTGTAATCTACATTTATTAAGAGGTTTTCACATTAAAAGTAAACTAAAAAAATATCTGTAATTTATATTATATAATATACCATAGCTAACACAAACTGAATTTCCATGTTCCGCGGAATGTTAATAGGTGTTTCGTAAAAACTTATAATTATTATGTTTTTTCTCCTTATTACTCTATAAAATAAACAGGGTATTTTATAAAAAAATCAGGATTTACGAAGTGTTCCGTTGCAAGAAAAATTGTGATAGATAAAACTCTTTTTTGATATAATATTATTGTTTTGACAAAATAAAAAGTATGGCCTTTTATATTTCTAAAAATAGTACACAATTTGTTTGTATATATGGTGGTTTCTTTTTCTTTTTTTTTGTACAGACTAGTCTATTTGTGCAATTTATTTGTAAAGACCTCGATGAAACAGTCCGAGATATTGACGGAACCGATTACCTGCACTATACGAGGGATAACTGTACTTTATTATTTAAGAATTATGTAAAAATAAAACGTTATTCTGTATCTGATCACGTTTAAAATCTATGGAAGAAAACGGTAAATTGAAATTCAAACTGCATTTTCAAATTTTTGGTATTTTTTTATATATTTATTTGCATAATTCAACTTAAATTTAAATATAAATTAATATTGTTTTTAATATTCTATAATATAATTATAAATATTTTTTTTCATTTTTTTTTCATTCATCTGAAAATTATTAAATAATTTGATTTTAAAACTAAAACAATTGCACGTTAAAGTTTACTGACACCAATTATATAACACAATTAATGTAATAGCTTTGTTTGTTCCGATGTTCTTTGTTGCTTCTATTTTTTTTATTAAACTGGTTTAGTTTTAAAGAGCACATAAATTGTTCACTCTGAACGAACTGCCAGATCTTACGTTTAGTTGGGTTTGCTTCACTGGACCAGAAAAATTCGGATAACAAAAAAAAATAACCACAGATTTTATGGTTTAATTGATTTACTTAACTAGACACAATTTCTTATTGGATTCATATTTAAGTGAAAAATAATGAAATGAAGTGAATTTGTTTTATTTTAAATTATGTCTACGTTTATTTTGTTTATTTTTTATAGTGTAGATGTAACAAATTTAGTTTGGATGTTTTTTTAAACTGTATTTCAAATTGTATTTGAAATTATGAAGACATAAAGTAATAGTAATAATTGAGACTGAAACTATGTAAATTAATCAAATTTATTGTATCAATTAAATAATAGCACCACAAAAATCATTACTATTGGTTTTTAACTGTATGTATAAAAACTATAATATTAAAGTATTTACAAAAGTAATATTTATATACATTTTATGATTTTAGTACTTATCCAACAATTTTATGTATCAAAATATTTTCTTCGCAATACAAACAAATTAAGATCGAATGGATCAATAGACTTTTGTCCTTCAGGTCATTTAATGGTATTTTTATTCGTAGCTACAAATTTATATTGTTATGTTCTCAGCTCAAATGCACAAAATATTATCTGGTTAAAAGTAATCTGTCATATTCATATCTAAACAAACCGTTAATGTTTGGCCTTGAAATTGACTAATATAAACAATTTTAATAAACATAATTTGGAAGTACATTAAATTTATTATCCACGGTTCAATTTGTTTTGCATATTTAAAATGATTATAATTTTAATTTCAACACGTAATCAAATTGAAATTATGGACAAATTGTTTTAATTTATTACAATAAATGGGTTTTAGTTTTAAATACCTTAAAACTCTTAAAACATATATGATAGATAATAGAATTATTGACTATATATTTTAACCTAATATAATAAATATAAATAAAATAAATAGTTACCTTTTAGGGACGTTAAATCTTCTTTTAAAGAAGTTCTCCATGTTCCTCATGATGCAAAAAAGTAGTGCTTTTAAAGGCAAAAAAAATAAGAGTATTGGAAATCGCGGTGAAGTTTATAGAAACGAACACAACATGTTAGATTGAAAACCCCATTGGGAAAGAAAAACGCGATTTTCTTCTTCTTCTGGGCTTCTTTCGCGGAGCACGGAGGACCGTTCTTCGGCGTCTTACAAGATTTGAAATGAGGATTTAGCGGTAAAATTCGGAACGGAACCGAGATGAGTTTTCATAACTAAACTCGACTAAAATGAGACGGAACTGTGTCTCTCTCTTTCTCTTTCGACGAGCTGTGTGCTTGTTGTCCGTTGCTGCTTGCGTTCGAGGCTGAAGAACCAACCGACTGAGGATTCGCTCGACGGTTCTCTTGCTTTACTTTACTACACATCTCCACACCCGTCCCGTTTTCTACTTCCGCTTCGTCCTACTCTCATCCAAACGAAATATTTTTCACATCTTTCCGGTTACACGACAACCGCGTTTTCTCTTGCATTAAGACCAATGAAATATACATGCCTCTACACGTAAACGTTACCTAACAAAATTCAATTTTAAAAGCGGGTTTATTTCATTTAGAATTCGTAAGTATCCAATTACTTTACGGTCATTAATTGCATGAATCAATGCAACGTAGCATATTTTAAGGTAAATTAAACTTAAATTAATATTATAACTAGTTACGAATTTACATAATATCAATAACTAAATTTTAAATTTATAATATAAATAATAGCAAAATTATATCAATATTTCGTTGTATTTTTTTTAATTTTGTAGATATTCTAAAAGAGTTTTCTTAGAGACAAAATTGAATAATCTTCAGAATAAAACAATAAAGAAATGAAGAAGAATACTGTTATTTAACATATTTTTCATCTTAAAATAAACTTAAGATGATATAAAATATAATTATCCGGTTTGAATTTCTGAACAAACTAAAGTTTATTTGTGCAATATTAGTACAGAACATTATTTATACAGATCCTTTTTGTGTGATTTATTTCTATTTTATTTTAGTACTCGATCAGTCTGGTTTCAAAGAGTCTGGGATATTAACGGAAGCTAACCCGGTCTATGCTAAATATTGCTGTAATTTGTTACATATCTTGTATATGGTTTTACGAATCATATAAATAATGTTAAAAACTGTTTCATTACGGTATGTTATAGCAGTAATTCCGATGGTGCACCATGTGTATTCTATTATAACTTGACTTTTTCTGTTAGGAAATAATTGTTGGTTTCAATAAGTTGTCAATGTTCAGAAATTTCTTATATTAAGATATCTTTTTTTTCAATTGAAATTATATACATGAGATTTATACGTATATTAATTAATCTGAAGAATAATTACATTTTAGTGACTCCAGAGAATACTTTGATATATTGACATATTTCAGTTAAACGTAGTATATTTAATATAATTAAATAATTATGCAAGGAACTATTAAAAATTAATAATATTTGATAAGAAAATGTAAAACTTTTTCTTATTCATATTGTACTAATTCTGATGAAAAATTATGAAAAATTATATTAACAGTTAGTGAATATGTTATAGTCATTAGCCTTTGTTGATCCAATATTCCCGGATGACGGTATTTCTAGGTTGTTTGCATGTACACGATACTAAACCATCTTAAGAAATTATGAACTGGAATTTACGCTTCGATATGTTCAATGGATTATATAAGAAAATGTGCATTTACCATAATCATATAAAACACTTCCACAATTATAAAGATTACATCCTTATTGTCAAATGATATACGCACAGGAAATGTTTATTTGTATATATAAGAAGTTAATTTATAAACAGTTACATAAGTATTTACATTTATAAATGTTATTCATATTTGCTATATTGCGGGATTCACTTTCCGATGACTGTATTAATTTGTGAACTGCATCTTTATCATCGCCAATTAGAAAGCACGCAGCAGCGTTTCGTAATCGGCTGTTCGTCCGTCCAGTTATGTAAACGAAATGTGGACGATAACGCGATTGGAAGTAATGCGAATTTATTAACCTACTAAACTTAATAATTGTAACAGGATTATTTCAACGATTGCAAGAGAAAATCACTTATTTATCGTTCGCTTCATAATACACTGCTCTCAGCTATTAATGTCGACATAATAAACATACGATGCAATGTTAGATTACGCAGTTTAAAGGCAAAATGTAGATCACTTGAAAGGTCTTAAATATTTTTTATGAAATTTGCAATATGTTGAAATATTATTTTGTGGTCATATATAACTTTGTAGATCAGTGATTCTCAAAGTGAGGGCGAAAAATAATTGGTGGGTCGCAGAAAAATTGATAACAATACGGTATGTTTTGGTACACGTACCCATTCTTCGGGGGTCATTTAATTTTTTTTAAATACAGAAGGAGGTCGTCGATCAAAAAGTTTGAGTACCACTGTTGTAGATGATTGTAGTTGATACTTATGAATTAAATAGAATCGTTGCGTATTTTTTACAGAATAATCTATAATTATTTGTAATGTTTAATTCAATATTGATATTACTTCGATTTATCAAAGAAGTTGCTGAAATGACAGATATATAAGTATTGTTCAAAACTTATAAACTATGTAGAGTAGTTTCCAAACCTGCAAACCTGATAAAGAAACAAATCAGAATGATACAAAATTTCAAACTTGAATTAATGCATAGGTTCTTTGAATTGTCAAGGCTAACACAATTTGGGGCCCTCGGCCAATAATGTATGGGGGCCCTTGAATAGCATTCTTTGGGGCCCTTATATTGTTTGAGAGTTCTAGATTTACATTATTTTAAGTGCAGATGGCTTAGAAGAAAACACGAGACAGAGGCAGGATTAGAAGTTCTGCTAGAGTCGGAAAATTTTGTCAGCGAAATGCTGAAGAGTGCTGGGAGATTGTAGCAACAGAGGTGATACTCAGTAAAAAAGAAGACGAAAGGAGGCATAGGGCCTACGAGGACAGTGGCAGTGGAGGCCAGCACTAACATGATCCGAGGGCCAATCATGCAAAGACAATCAGCAGTCCTGTATGCTGACAAAGAAGAGAAAAGGTTTTAGTGCGGTAAGAATCCCACAGTACCACGACTCCACCCGCGGTCCCTATGTAAGGTTTCCTCTTCTCTACAAAAAAAAAGACACATTATTTGGGGGCCTTCGACCAACTTTGTTTGAGGTGTACCCAATTTACCCAAATTTTTGTTTGTTGTGTTTATTTATTTGTTTTTGACCGTGAAGGTCGCTTTGACTGAATGGAAACGTGGACTGCTATCAATGACTAAGTGACTAAATAAATAAAGTATTATCCTACTCGAAAAACACATTTTTTTATTTTCTTTTGGCATTGATTTCATTAAACGATCCAATAACGATGTCTTTCATTAACCTGTCTTTTATTAATCATTCAGTCGCTTATGATTGCTTCACATGGCAGCATTTCTTTGTTTTTAGATGTGCTGCTACCCAATTGCTAACAATTTTTCACCAGTTTCTCGCTTTGACAGATGGTGACAACTGTCATTTTGTGATACATTAATTATTTAACGCAACCCAATTATTTAACGCAACACAATTTGGGTACAAACGCAGCTCTGATATTTGTTTTTTTTTAATTGATTGAATTGTCTTATTGTTCTTTAGTCTAAGGTTTGTAGTAATTAATCTATATTTTTAAACATTAAATACAAATTTGACATTGTCTGACTTTTCTCAATTAAATCGCAACGTAAATATTGGATTTTATTTGCAAAATATATATTCTATTATATTAATTTCCATTTTCTCTATTTTTTTTTATATATTTAACAATTATTATTGGATTATTTAGGACCAATTTATCGATTATTCTAAAAATAGTGTTCAATAGTCAATTCAGTATTTAGTAGCCACATCGACATTTCTGTATCAATTTTCATATATAGATATAAGGCCTTCGTTAATCACAGATAGACAGTGAAATAAATGAGGATCAGAACAATGACAGTGTTAAGGATAGCAGCAGATTCACAGTCAAAGGAAATAGTGGAATCGCAGAGCATCAATACTACTGAAGTTAACCTATATGTTGATTCAATTCAAGTAAATTTTGCCACATTATTTTCAATATGAATGTTAAATTTTATTAAGTTTTTATCATATCAACGTGTGGTTGAGGTGTCTTACTGTTAAATTTAATGCTTCATAGTACACGACTATTGAATGAAAACTAACATAACCTCAATAAAAACCAAAAGAACGCTTCTTTTATGACACCCATATTTGTCTTGTGTAGGAATCTATTGCTTAACTTTTATTTGATAGTTTATACATGAAGCATATAATTTTAAATGAGTATTATTTTATTCTAAAAGCATCAAGTGGAATAGAAAATCATCCATGTAAAATTACAAAAAAAATAGGTTTGTAGCTGTTGTTGAATAAATCTATGTAATTTAGATATGCCGATAGTCGATGATTTAAATTCTTCGAGATGCGGAAAATGAAGAGGAAGAACACAAAGTAAAGCAGGTGAATGAATGGCACCACGAGCAGAAAAGAAGCGGCAAACCGTGATGTTGACCGGAGCCGCGCGTGAAAGTAGTATTTTAATTTACCGAAGACGCTCTGCCCAGAAACGTTTAACATTTAAGAAAAAAAAAGAAAAGAATCATCACGTGCACCAAATAAGAAGTATGATTTAAATCAGAAGGAATGAAAGAACCGCTGTTACGCTATTGATGATAATCAATATAATCTCAAGCTTTCTTCTATTCTCCTGACATAATTGCGCACCAATTAAACGGATATGCAGGAAGCAATCAGATATATTATTTCCGGAAATACGCGATGAAAAATTTGTATAATATTTGCAACATATAAACTGGTACACCTGTTTTTCTCATACGATGCTCTGCATATCGAATGACGCTAATTGGATGTTATAATAAATGATATTCATGCCGAAGAGTATATGGTAAGTGGAGTTTGCAACGAAAGTGGTCTTCTGGCACACAAAAAAATTTGCCTTTGCCTCAGAAATTGCGGAGTTCGTGTGGTAAATGATATGCAGTAACTTGAGATTACACAACTTATGAATAGATTTAATTGCAGTATGTGGTGTACCGGAGTAAAGCCAAAGCTGACAACTCGCACAATTCTAAATGTAAAATTGTAAATTTTAAAAATAATTGAAGAGTAATACCGAAATCTTATTTAATTTAATAGTAATTCACGTCTTTAAGCTTACAGTTAATGTATGAAACTGTTTTTATCTTGGTTAGATTAACTTAAATATTAGTCTGGTATATTAATTATAGTTTAAAGTTAGTTTTATATATTTTAATTATTTTATGTTTATATATTTAAGAAAGTACTATGCAAATTGCAGCCCAATAAATAAGTTGTTAGTTTTTAAACCTCATTAGAGTTAAACACAGGATCCCCGACTTACAAACTAGTTCCATTCCAAGCGGTTGTTCGTAAGTCGGGTGAATTAAAAAAAATCAAAATATATTTACCACACTTTATCATGGTTTTTACTTTTGTATATGTTAATTTCCGTATTACTGATTGCATAAATTTGAAAAAATAGACATCACAAATATTTAATTAAAAAAAAACGAACGTAGATTCTTTTATTAAAGAAATTATCAATTTTTTATTGGAAAGTTATTTTTTTTATTACTTTCTATCACTATTGTTGTGACAACTTCGAGCTTTTAGAATTTTGTGCGTAAGTACTGGAGTTCGTAAGTCGGGGAATACTTGTATTGGATACAACCAGCACATTAATGATTATCTAATTATTATTTTAATATTTCTAAGAAATTAATTGAAGAGCAGGACCGTCCTAAGATATTTGGTAAAAATACACGGGACTTGAAGCAAAATTACCGCCCCAAAAATCTGGCGCCCTGGTGTTTTAACCCATTTTAAACTGTGGTTAGGGTAGCCTTGTTGAAGAGAGAACATTTAGATAGTTCACAAAATTATGTATTTATACTTAAACGATCAGTTTTTACTCTTTACTTTTTACACTATTTTCTTCAATTTTATGTCGTTTCTCGATTAGTTTTGCTTCAAACAGTCCGGGTTATTGTACCCTTCAATTTAATCATATCGACCAAAGTTAGTAGCATTCAAGTATTTTACGATCAGTACAATAAAACCAACAAATTCTTCTCAAATTCAAAGTTAGTGTTATTCAAATATACCATAATTAAAAACATCTATTATATTTTACATATTAAATATAATACTAAAAGCATCGAACTGTGTTGAAACATACTTTTATTTAAATTTAGAATATAAATTTAAATGGCGTACTTATTAACATTTAGATTTTACTTTCTAGTTATTAATGTAAGTGCATCAATTATACAAACATGTTAGTTCAAAATATATAGGAGTGAAATCGGCAACAGTTAAAATTTAATCAGATTTCGGGGGGAAATCAATTAAACATTTTCAGTTAGCTCATTTTGAAGGTCATATACTTAATTCTGTATCTTATTTAAGCTTGATGTACTACCAAACTTTTTTTTCTTGAATTATGACCCTATTTTTATTATTTTTATTGACCATGCAATGCAATGTTTTTAGATCATGCATTCTTTATTCAATTGCATAGCATGTAGTTATGCAACCAAACAAACACTTTGGTTAATACAGTGGAAACTCGTTAAGTTTAATCCGTTCAAAAATTTCCAGATTTTTACTCGTATAGTGAAACATATTCAAAGTAACAATTTTATACATGAATCGCATTATCGTATTTAACATTAAATTATATGGGAAAAATTGTTTTGTTTAACGTGTTTCTCGTAACGAGTGAGATTCTGTTACGAATTATGCTCGTTATGCGAGGTTCCACTGTATAAGTATCGTATCTCTGCAAAGATTTAGCAATGGTATTTATGGGCTTAATTGGTTTAATCAAAGTACTCTATATAAACACCACTAATCCTAACTAATTCAATTGGTTTATTTATATGATCCTAAAACACCTCTATATGTTCAATTTCATTTGCGATTAGTAGTGTAGAAGTAATATTAGTACGTTCATTATCACATTTAAATGCTCGTAAAAATTAGTGTCTTTCTTGCCTAACATTCATATCTTTTCAGTCTTTTTAAGATCATTGATACAATCTTCATGTAATTCATTCAAACTTTCTCCTCGTGGTAATCAATTCAATAAAACAACAAAAAAAACAAACAAAGAAATGATACGAAAGTCGGAATGATTTATTATTATAAATAAATAAATTAGTTGTGTACGACTCGATTATTATTTAGTGGCCTCCATCAAGTAAGCAATCAAGTCTTCCCTGTCCTTGGCTTTCTTCAATCCTGCGAAAAGCATCTTCGTACCGGGAATGTACTTCTTCGGATTCTCAAGGTACTCGTTCATCGTCTCCTTCGTCCAGGTGATTCCCTTGTTCTTGTTGGCATCGGTGTACGAGAAACCAGGCGTCATTCCCGTCTTTCTACCGAAGATTCCGTGCAAATTCGGTCCAACCCTATTCTTTCCACCCGCGTCTATTGTGTGGCACTGATTGCACACTTTTATAAACACCTTCTTTCCGTTTTCGAGATCTGCCATCTCTGATTGCTAACACGGAAATTTACACCGAGAGAAAACTAGTTTCTATTCAATTACAAAAAAAATGATATGATATGACTGACAACTGAAAAATTGTCATTTATTTATTTACAACAGTGTCAAATAATGTTGATATTGTCAAGGCTATTTTGATATATGTATTATTACACCAATTACAATAAAATTGAAGCACAACTGTATAAATTATAAATATCTTTAGATATGATATATATCAAAATGCCTATGAAAGAAATGCTCCATAGTTCGTCAGGAATAAACAAATACACGAAGATGTTCATATAGATACCAAGATAGACTGGAGTCACATACTAATGTTCTGGCTATTGACATTCTCGACAACAGTGAAACCACAAACAGGCTGAAGTATTGCAAACCACTAGATTTAGTATATTTAGATTTAAGTAATTATTAATGTTCAAAATCATCATAATGTCCATTTAATGTCAACTGCGATCTTAAATTTACTCAATGTTCACATTTATGAACAGATTGTGAATAAAATTACGACATGATATATTACATATAGTTTTATAATATTTAAATTCATAGAATATTGTTAATGCTATGAATACATAGAGAAATGATCATAAATTGCAATACTAAAACAATAATTTGTTCTTCATCTACAGCATTATTTGGTGATAAAATTTGCTGTAAATTTTATATTGTTTTATATATTGGTTGATTAATGATGAATGCAAAACCTTTCAGATAGCCCCGATGAAATATATTCTCATTAAAGCATAGGGTATATATAATTTCAGTTTTATTTCATTGAAAGTCTCGCAAATATGTTTAAATAAATTATATTTTTGTATTTGTTTTTCACCATAGTGTTCTCCGAACATCAAGGAACAAGGATAACGAAACGACCGACATCGTACGAGTTTAAAAATAAAAATTAGTACTTGGAATCGATTATAAAGGTACTATGTTCAAATAATATTTTAATTTCGATTTGATATAATTTTCATATTTACGATCAGGTCAACTTCCACAATGCCTTCATGTTCTGCCAGAGGTTAGGCATCCAATTGTTAATGATCAACTCCAACGAGGAATACGAATACATATACAGACTTATTACGACTGAACGTAAGACTTTACTTTTGTTGCTGAAACGTTGATTGAATTACGTGTTTTTCTCTTTCTTATCAGTGGTATTCGGTTGGGATTTAAAGCTTTGGACTTACAGATTTGGGATTGGAAGCTAAATTTCATTGCTTATCTATTGGACAACCGATTAAGATTGATGGATGATTGTCAGCATTGCGAAGAGTTTTGGAACAATAAAGGAAGTATTGGTTTGAACGATGACAAATGCCACATTGAAAATTACTTTATTTGTGAAAGTTTCAAGTAATAAATAAAATATTTCATAATAAATCGGTGTTGTTGTGTGATTGTTGTCTTGGTCCATTTTTACTTAATATTTAATTCAATAAAACAATTGATAGTAATATGACCAATTAATTATTTATACAAATAAAATATTTAATTATTTTTGATGCATCTATATTAACTGTTTGTGATACAATAGTCAATTTAATTAAATAGGTAATTTGATTGGTAATTGGAACCTACATACGTTATCTCGTCGTTTAGGTTTTGGGGTAAGGGAGATCGTTAAGAAGATCTTGAAATGGATTATTTGGATATTATAATTTTTGTTACATAATACTATGAAGCTTGCAGGCGAAAAATTTTTGGGCATTGTGACGAAAGATTTGATTTGAAGCAATTGGCTTTGAGGTTGTGGAGTTTCAGCCTCTAGTACTTTGTTTCACAGTTTTGTGGTCTACAATCTTCTTCCATTTAACAACTCAGTTTATTTTGGATCTCTGATTCTGGTCAATAATCCTACTGTATATATTATCATTTACGATTCATTAACTATTCTATATTTGTTTAGATTTTTTTAATCTTTTATATTCTATTTTTAATACTTGCAATATGAATTTAAACTATATATATATAAAAATATTCTTATAATTACATTGATAATACAAACACTTCATTTGTTTAATTTCCAATAGCCTTTTAAATTAAATATGCTATTTATCTATTTTTTTATATAGATGTAAGATCTTAGTGAGACTGCTGACAATGGATCCGATCTGCTTCATCTCGTCGAAGTCTTTTTCGGGAGCAACGACCTCGTAGTTAGCTATCCGACGATTAACAAAAGTCAAAATTGTCAAAAGGTCCGTTTTGGTATTATTAGTGGAAATATGCTGTAATTCGTCGCAAAGGCTCCGGATCAACCAAGACCCTGAAACAGTACTCCTGAAAGAGATGTGACCTGTAAGAAAGACATCAATTCTAATCAATAAGTATTTAGTGAAATGAAAATACGATAAAAATATTTTTTATTATAATTGCACCTTACTCGAATGGTAATTGACATCCCACTTTAATTGGTTTTTGTTTCGAATTGATACTTACCTTCAAAGCTTGAATACATTATAAGAAAATCGGCCATAGCTGGTATTTTGTAAGTATTTTGATTTGCATCTCCAGGTGATGCGTAGACGGTAACGCCGGGGTCCAACTTATTACCTCGACAAGCCTATCAAAGAAACATCCATATTAAAGAGAGAATGCCCTCGTAATGTTAAGATTTGTTACTTGAATAAAGAATAGTTTTGGTTTTCCAACCAGGGTAGGACAATTGTTTCCGGAAAACTGTAACCACAATTGGTCTGGGGTGTACTGATGATCCCTAGCGTGGATTACACCTGCATCACCATGAGACATGACGACGATCATTAGGCAATCGGCATCCGAATGATCTTCATTAGACACTAAAACCGTTAAATATAAAATCGACGGGAATCATCAGCTCCTATCTCACCTTCATAAATGATATCCACTATTTGCCTATAGGTATAATCCTGACATACTTTGGTTGTAAAATTGAACGTTGTTAATGTCCTATCAATATTTTGACAGTCCTTGTCTGTTCCTTCCCTTATGGACAAGTTGGAATTATCAAATTTATAATGGTTGAAGATTAAAGCTATTCCCCTTCGGTCGTGATTCATATTATAATAGTTGCTCTCACCTTTTGCTGCTGTGCTACCACTCGCATTCTTTTCATCATCGTTACTCCTAAAAAATACAATAAATTAATTCTTTGAAGTATTTCTCATAACTGGTAATCGACATATTACTAAATATGTAATAATCATTCAAGTATTATTGATTAACAATCATACAATTATACATTAATAAAAAACATAGCTATAGATTAATTACATTGTGAAGTAAAAGGATATATGAAACGCTTTGTTGCTGTGCTATTATTAAAATGAAGTCATGATTTCGACCACGATCTCCTTATCTATATGATGACAAATCATATTCAAATATTATTCTAAAACTTTATTTTTTTATAATAATAATAAACATGATTCTTTTCTACTTGATTTTCGATTTAGAAAATCTTGTTAGCAATAAAAATAAACAAACTGAAGATGAAAATAAAGAAGTTCCTGCCGAAAATATTAACAACCAAATATTTAAAAAGTGCTTTATGTATAATTGCATCATTTTCTCTACTAAACAGCAGAATTTTAAATATTTACGTTACAATAATAGATCATTTTTCAAGAAATTAGATTAGAACAATTTAAACAATACTTGTCATGTAAAAGTTAAATATACTTCTTTTTATAAAAAATCTATTTCGGAGAATACAAATGTTTATCTCATTACATCCACGTGTCAAGTACACACAGCACAGTCCTTTGGATTTTGAGTCCCTGGGCCCTCAATGCATGAAAAGTGTGTGAGCATCCGATAAAAAAAAATATGAGATCGGTGGAGCAACTAACACTGTTTGGGGGCCCCGTGCCCGATTAACTGGTCGTAGCAACATCTCTGAATACACACATATCCTTAGATTTTTAGTAATATTTGGGAAATCTCGGTGTGTTTCCAGGGGAAACAATAAAATTATTAGATGAATTTCTTGTCTTTTTTATTCATTGTTATATATTCTCTATGGACAGGAAGAAGAAATATGTCTATGTTTAACATTACGAATACAACATAAACTAATGTTGCTAGTTAAGCGATTACCGATCGATCAATTGCTGATCAGCATCGGGACTGACATCGTTGGCATTGGTATTTTCTTGAGCACTCTGGGCTTTTTGTCGTACTTTTATCTGATAGATGTTCTTGATGCTGCTGTTGCACTGTAAGATTTGCATCAGTAGTTTCAATGTGGTCTAGGCATTTGGAATAAAAAGCTTCGATTCTCTGGAAGTTTTCGCTCTCGCAGAAGATATAGATCGTCTCATTCTCTTGTACTATTCAGTGGTAATGATGTATACTACGAATGAAAGACACACAGCTTTGGTTTTGTGGTATTAACGATTAGAAAAAAAGTTCAGTAAGTATTTAATATTCACTTTTTTTTATCTACATAAAGTTTCAGTTTATTCATTATTTATTTTCCTTCGCCTAATAAAGTAATTTTATGAAAAGTGTATCTTCTTAGTTAATCTATGTATAATTGCATCATGTTACTAAACAGCAGGTATGTTATGCAAATAATATAAAATTGCATTACAAATATTTACGATATAAACATAGATTACTTTTCTGACGATGTTCTCAAATACCTAACGCACCCTGTATAATTTTGATTTAATTCTTTGAGCCAGAAATTCCTAAATTTCTAGATCCAACTAATTTCTAGATACCTGATTAACTACGTGTTAATTCAATCGGATGGTATGGCTTATTAAGACCGCACGGCGCCCCAATTTAAAAAAATTTAAATTATATCACAAATTATAGAATTGATTATGTTATTGAAAAGGATTTTTTTTTTGGAAATTATATGTTGAAAATAAAACATAAAATTTAAATTTAGTACAGGTTATATTATCATCGAAAATAATAATAATAATTTGCATTTTTTTGTTTGTTTATAATTACAATTAAAAAAAGGTACAATCACTAAATATCGCTATCACAAAAAAAAACATATATAAAGAGAAATTAAAATTGTATTATTAGTAGAAGATATAAAAAAAGAAGGAAGTAAATCAACCCAACATATTTATTATATCTGCAATTCTCTATTTACATGTTAGAATATCTATAACATAACATAATAATACTCAATACAATAATATGCAAAAGAAAAGTAGTAGTATTTGTAAAAATCGCGTGAAGAAGAAGTGGTCGTGATATAAACAGAATTAAAGCCAAAAATTTATTTACAAAAAAAAACAAATAGTTGTCCGGATTATAAAATTAAACTCTTACACTCTTACGCTCCATTTTTATATCTGGTTCCTTTCTGCCAAAAATAATAACAAAACATGTATAATAAAAATGTTACAAAAAAAGGAAGAAAATTATTCGATTTCGCTTTTTTACTTTTAGGTCGAATTTAATTTTTAACAGACGCAATCACAAGCGCACCTCTTGACGCGCTTTTGGGACTTCGGGACAAAGTCTTCTACGGATCTGATGGAACGTGGATGTAAATCTGAAAAAAATAATTTTAAATGTGATTTGTTGTTTTCTAGTATTTCTTAGTGATTATATTACAGTGTTCCCTTGGTTCCTCGGAAGCTCGAACATCTGGCTCTTGTCGCATCATTGGTACCGGGATATTGATAGGCATAACACTTCTAGCGAAAGATTGTCTTCCGTTCATGCCTTGGGCGCTGTCCCTTTGGTGCTGCATGAGTCTCATGTCTTGTGGCGTTTCTTCGCTTTCGTGATGGGAGACGACAATGACATCGCGGTTTGGTAATCTGTCAAGTTGGGAAAGGATTTCTTCGGGGATTGGGAGTCTGGCCAAGCGTTGCTGGATTTGGATCCTCTGTTCGTTCGATTGCTGATCGGCATCGGGTCTGACCTCATTAGTCTGGACCTCCTCTTGAGCCCTCTGAGCTTCTTGCTGGAGTTTCTGCGCGATAATTTGCTGGGCGATGTGGTGGAGGATTTGGTTTGGAGGCAATTGGCCTTGAGGTTGTGGTTGCTGCTGCTGTTCATGCTGTTGTTGATGTTGCTGTTGCATCATAGGGATTGGCATTGGCGGTCTCATAGTTTCCATTGGGTGCATGGGTTTCTGTTGCATTGGCATGTGGGTGTGGAATTGTGCAGCTGGCAACGGAATCATAACTGGTTGGATCATAATGGTTTGCTCTTCTTCCTGTTCTTGCTGTTGTGGTTGTTCGATCCTCTGGAAGTTACCGCTCTCGCAGAAGATAGCGATCCTCTCGCCGCTCAACCTCTCGTACCTTGGATCGGTGGTGATGTTCACTCCGAATGGAAGGCTTACGGTTTTGGCTTTGTGGTCAACGACTTCTTCAGCCTTCTTCTTTTCGACGACGCAATTCATTTTGGATCTCTGGTTTTTGTCCATCATGGTTCCGGCTAAGTCATCAAAGTCCAAGTGGAGCGGCAGCTTGATCTGAATTGGAATACGGTCCTCCTCATCTGAAGAGTCTTCAGACGAGCTACTCTCGCTGCTCTCGTCGGAAGAATCTTGAGATTCCTTGTTGTTTTCCTCCGGAGTCTCCTTCACAACTGGAGCCTTAGTTTCTTCAGCTTCTAATGGTTCAATGTGTTTCGGTTCGTCCTAAAAAATATAAATAAAAAATTAACTAAGAAATCTAAAAATACAAGTAAAAAATGATATATTTTAAATTATAACATATATATACACAACAGTAATCATTAAATTCGTTAGACTTTCATATAGTCAAAATATGATAGAAATCAAAAATATGATAGAATTACCAAAAAAACAATACAAATGGTTAATTAAAATTTGGTTGAAAATTTACACAGAAAATTGTAAATTATTTATTTTGAGAAATATCATAACCAACCTAAACAAATATTGAAATAGACTGGATTCTCAATATGAAAAGCGATTAAAAACAACATGAATAGTGCGTGATTTAGTTGTTGTAATATAAATTGCGATATTCTCAGTAATATGAGAATTTTATAAGAACTGTGATTAAATCAAAGCAAAAGATTCTAAATACGTTCGAGAAAAAAAAATGCAACTTTGCCGTTTCGAAAAACCTTCCTCATTTTCGCGCAGCTGTGACCTCGTTGCAACTACGAAGAGTGTAAAGACCTCTCGCTTTCACCGATGCCCCAGTCATGTTGTTTATTGCAAATCGCATTCGAGAACATCTCGTGCTGTTACGCAACCCCGCACTTCATACCTGGACCAAAGCTTCGGGCTGAAGAGGCTGGTATCTGTCCATGGACTCGGTCAGTAGCTGGAGTTCCTGCTCCAAGTGTCTGCATGAGGCGTTGGCCGTTATGTAAGCGGAAGCCAAAATGCATCCGCCGAGAACGACGGAGACGAGGATGACGGTTACGGCGATGATCTTTGCCACCTGGACCGAAACGCTTTTTGGACGATGGTATGCCTGAAACAGGAAGAGAGAAAAAAAATCATTAGTAAAGTAAACTTTCTCCAATTCCAGCGCTCCATTTCTTCAATCTCTTTCTAAATATTGGATTTAGATTTATAAAGATGTATATTTAAAAAAAAATGTGTATCATTTAGTTGGCGAAAGTTGTCAATTAAGATCACCGCAAATCTTAATTGATTTGGCGAGGTGAAAGTGTGAAACTTTTTTCCAGCTCTCTCACTCCCTGTCTCTCGTTCTTTCTCAGGATTCCCCATAAGTGCATTTCTCATTTGCATACAAAACCAAACTCGGCATCAAAACACGAAACAAAAGATCTCCGCTTGCTTTCATGTGCTTAGCATACTTAATAGATTAATGATTTCCTACGCTCTGTGCATTCATAAAAAGGATGCTACTAAAAATAACGAATAGATAATTTCTATTTATAACGTTAACTCCTTATATAAAGTCATATTCATTTTGTTCTATTTATTATCTATTTATTCGTCAATAAAATATTTATGAAAATCTAGCTATAATTTTAAAGAAACGTTAATGCTGATTGAGTAAAGTTTAAATTCTAGAATATAGAAAAAACTTATTAAAACATATTTATTTACAAATATTGCACAATAAATATCCGTAAATCTAATATTAATAAATTAATTACACACTATATTCTGGATAATAAATGAGATCATAATCAATCAGGAAATATGTACAAATTGAATTTAAAAACTTTTCATAAAGAATAAAAAAATATTGTAAGGTTTTCATTGAACATGTTAAGAAATATCATTGAAACATCATAAAAAAAATGTTTGAAGAGTTGAAGACCTCGAAATAAAGTAGTAATACCAAATGATATAGGATATTAAATGAAAGTTAGTAATTCCCTATAAAATTCTAATTTGAACAGAAAGCCTTAGGTTTCTTAGTTCCAAGTTAAGATCATTTAAATATGTTTTAATGAAATTAATAAAATATTACTTATTTAGAAATACGAAATTTGTATGGTAAAATTATATAAAATATCCTAGAGTATTGACTTGTAATCATCAGAAAGGAATGAAGGATATGTGATGAGACACGACCTAATAGAGAAAGAATGTTTGACTCAAGATTACCATATTTATTTAATAAATATGTAATACACGTATGTATAAGGAATAATTATGCAGGTAATAATTAGAAAAAACAAATAGAACTAGTTTTAATAAGAAAACTATTTATTTATATTATATAAATCGAATTATTGGTCTTTTCACCCATAAAAAAATATAATCTGTAATAAACTAAATTGAACCATAAACTAAATATATAGAAAATATTTGAAACTATCTTTTTATTTCTAATACGTTTTATATATTTTGATTTATATACATTTAACTGTATATACATATAATTGTTATATACAATGTTTAGAAAAAGTCATCACCTTTAGGCGAAATTACATTTATGAAGAGCCTTAACATATGGCATAAACTTTCACTTGAGATTTAAATGAGATTCAAATAAATAGTGTGCAGCGATAAATGCCCGTGCAATTTCTTTCCGTTAGCTGCATCTTAGGTAATGACTCCTAACGAGCTCATTCCTCACGAAACTGCAATTTAAATTTATAAAAGCCGAACCGAGCACAACATAATGATGGAAACGATGAATAAATAACATTTTCCATTCAGAGATCTCTAAACACCCATCAAAATACCAAAGAGATCGAGCAAATTGAAATTGATAATTTCTCACGACGGATCTCTAATTTTAATGGTTTCTCTTAAATATCAGCACGTATCTTTGATGCACAATCGCAATTAGAAAATTAATTAATATTTACATTTGTACACTGATTTATAAAGTAAATAAATTGTCAATATACAATTAATTATATACAAAAGATTAGATAATTTTAGACCAACAAAAGCTAACAACAACAAAATTGTTCATGAGTTAGTCCTATCCCGGATATTAGCATAACTATCCAAAGTATTACTGTGTAATATATAACAACTAAATAACAAATTTTGAGAAATTATTTTAATGAAGACAAAAATACTTCAGTTAATAAGTTATTTATAACATTTTGGTTTGCTAAAAATTATTATGTAAAGTCTTTAACAATTTAATAATCATGGGAATACTCTGGTATCTTTACATTAACATTTGTTATGTGGAATTGGAGTATAGCTATTTGCATGTGTTATGAACATGAATAATGCAAGATCGATTATTGTGATTCGCTTGAAATCATAATAATTTGCTGTTTGTTTATTACCTCTGAGGCAAAGCGTTTAATATACAATACATCTCGGTGACCCAGATTTTTAGACCAACAATCTCTTATAAGCACCGCTCCAAGGACACCGATGAGCTTGTCGCTGCTTCAGTATAAACTACAGCCATCCGTTGATGATTATTTAAACCCAGATTCATGTCGTCACCTTGTAACACTAATCCGTTGCGAAGCAATTACACCTTCATCCAAAAGGCATCTCTGAACATCTCTGCTTGTTACAACACATGATCATCAAAAGTTACTTAGTTCAGAATTTATTTGATTTTATTTTAATTTTATTCTTTTTTAAATATACTGAATGAACTTTTACATTATTTTAACAATGATACACGCTATAATGTATTTGAAACGATGCATGACTAAACCAGGAAATGTATAATAACATAATTCACCGAACAATAAATGTATTATTTTTTTTATTTCAGCTATAAATCACGTGAATTGCAACATATTCTAATATGTCCGAAAAGTTTTCATCAGATGAAAATCAAATAATTTTATGAAAAAAAGATCTCATTATTATTATAAGTTGATGTAAATAGTTAATTAAAAATAATAAACAATGTATTTAATTATGCACATAAAATGAATTTAATTTGAAATTGATTATTTTTAAAAATAGAAGAAAAACTGTTAATATTTTGTTAAAATAAATTTTTATTATATAAAAGCCTGCAACTCAAAGTGTATTTGATTTGTATCTTTATTTTGAACTATTCATGTCTCAACTATTGTAATAAAGTTTAACGTAAAGTGGCGTATCTACTGCATAGCAAAGGTCTGCAATGCTGAGGGACCTACGAATGTGAGGGCCCTAACTTTGCTTCCAATCAAAATATTGAAATTATTGGCAACATAATGGCATACATAATTGGTACTTAGAGACAGGGCCGTCCTTTGGATTTTAAGGCCAAATATGAAATGGGGTCCCCAATACAAGACAATGTTTGGGGACCCCAAATTTCACAGGGCCCCGGGCATTTACCCGATTCACTGGTCGTAATGACGCCTCTGCCTAGGGCCCGCGGAAAGTAAAGTGAACTGACTGAGAACAACGAGAAAGAGCCCGATATTTCCAGCTACGCCACTGTTTTATAGTTTAGTATACAACCCACGATCGTGGCTATAAACAAAGATGATAGATCTATTCATTTATTTTGGATCTTTGATACATTCTATTTATGTATGTTAGTAGAATAACCTAGTTATAGATCGTGACCGAAGAGTTCCCATTGTTTTCAATCCTGCATCTCACTTATTAAAAGAAAATCAAGGAATCAATGTAACTTTATATCTATTTCAAAATATCAGTAATATCTCGCATAGTGCAGCTTCGATCAACTTGAATTCAGGTTTGAAAATAATAGTTTTTTTTTCTTTCAGGTTAAGTCTCTTTTTGTGCTTTTTATTTTATGCGGTTTTAAAGTCTTCGATTAGTCCAGTTTCAAACTGTGCGGTATATTGGCAGAACCGATAAAATAATCTATGTTTCTATTATATAAATGATGACTTGAATTGATTTGCTTCAATCAGTAAGAAACAGTAATTTTATATAATTAAATTGTGAATCGACTCTGCGGTTTTACCAAGAAACAATTTCAAAGAAATTAGTAAATTGCTTTATCTAATAGTAGTTAAAACTGTATAAAAGAAAGGAAAATAAATAAATAAGCATAGATTCATGTTCACCGTTTATTCAAGTTTTCAATGGTTTATTTCCATTCTAAGATCAATCAATCAATGTAATAAAATTACAAACGTTAATTACGAGTAGGACTTGAAATTAATTACGTTGAAAAATAAATAAGGTCATCGAAAGGAGGAACACATGATAATATTAATGAAACTTAATTAGAAATAATCATAAAGGCACGAACAATAATTACAGCGCCTAGACAATAGCGTTTTAGAAGAATCCACCTATTAGGAAGTGTTAAACATTATTTATTTGTTCTCCTTGTGGGAAATGAAATAAACATGAGAATATCCTTAAGGCGACTGGATTTCTATCTCTCTTTTTCCAGAGAGAAAATCCTTGAAAGTATTAATTTCTCTTTGACAGAGGTAAGTAACTGTTGCCATCCACCATTTCTAGGAAATTACGTAAAAAAAATCTCTAGTTTTTTTTTTGATTGTTGGTTGTTGTTCGAATTAAAATTAGACAATCGGGATGCGCCAATTAAACTGTCATTATTTTGAAAGCTCGTTCGAAACAAACAAACATGATATTAAAAAATGCACACGTTCGTTGGCGGAGCGAACGCGAAAAATAGCGGATGGCAATAAACATTAATGACACTAACTGCGATCCTGACACGAGACGGTACGAAGGTTACGTAAGGCAAATATTAAATTTACCAGTCGTAGACTGGCGAATGCGTACAAGAGGAATACAAAAAAATCTGGATTGAAAAAGAGAAGACGTAGCAATGTTTCGAGTTACTCTTAAATATCAATATTTGTATAGAACGTTAACGAAAGAGTATGAAATTCGTTAAAAAAATAAATCCTGGCCTTAACAACAACAAATATAATGTTTAATAACTTTTTTTGTTATTGTTGTAATGGAATTTACATTTTTTCGTTCTAAAACGCTTCTAGGGTATTCGCACCTTTTTTGTATTCAAATTAACACTTTCTTTATTTAATTTGCAACTTACAACAAAAATATTTTCGAAAACGAATTAAAATTGTCTTTTCAACAAACCTATATAATCAT